AATAAATATGGAGGGTGTTGATATTTTAGTATTATTGGTGGAAAATGTGGTGAAGATTGTGGTCGAAGTTGTAAATAACTTGAAGTCGAAGCAAATAAAACAACATCATTACAAATCTTGGCTATGTCATACAGGCTGACATAAAGGACATTTAGCTCATAATTGTCCAGATTAAATGAAGCATGAACAATCAGAACATGGTATAGTGATACCTGAAAATAGAAGAGTGAATGCTAACAAAAGCAATAAACAGAAGAAAAAGAAAAATCATACATATCCGGTTGATAAAATTGAGGATATAAGGCTTATTAGGTTTGATAATAATGATAAATATGTAAAAAGTATATGAAGGTGTTGTAAAAGAGTTAAAATGTATAAGCCAAGAATAAAGGAGAAAGTAAATATTAATTCAAACAGTCAAAACAATTCGAAAATAAAAGGAAGAATAAAAACAAAAAACAAACCTAAAAGTTCTGAAGAAGAAAATGCAAGGAATAACAAATGCATTAGTTATGAAAAGAAGGCATTTAAATGAAACATGAAATCTGTGGAAATGAGCAGTGGTGATGATATATGTGCTATTAGTTGCCATTATGAAAATGGAATCGATGGTGATAAGGATCAGTATAAGGCAGTCAATTACTACCAAGATTCTGCTAATGTGAATGATGTTAATGAATATTTGTTGGACATTGTTACCATCATGGAAATGGTATCAAAAAGAATAAAAGTAAGATATTCATCCATTATCAAAAATCTTGTGAGATGGGATCTGCTGATGGAATATATATCACTAGTGATTGTTATCAACATATGAACGGCATTAAAAAAAACAAAAATAAAGCCTTCAAATATCATCAAAAATACTCCGATATGGGTAATCCTAATAGAGTCAGTAATGAAATAGAAAAACAAAAGTCATTTGGTTATTACAAAAAATCTAATAAAGAGGGTCTTAATGATTGTTATCAAGCTGAAGCAATGGTAATGTTGGAGGCACCATTGGATGTGGTGACGAAAATGGATGCTATAATGAAAGGTATGTTGAAATCATTGATAAAAACTGAGTCTGACAGCAATAATGCGAACAGTGAAAATGGTGAAATCAAGGTGTATAAAAGAAATAGTAATAGAGAGAAAGGGAAAAAGGATACAGATCCGAATAGTAAAATCCAAGATGATAAGATCTTTAGAAACATGGAGACAAAGGGTAAAGATTTTGTTGATGATGTTGAAATCGATGAATCCAGTAAGGCGAAATCTTGTGGTGTTGGCATTGAAAAGAAGAAATATAAAACATTTGAATGTCATCAAAAATCAGTAGAATTGAGTGACAATAGAACATTTAGTGAAAGCCGTCATCATTATGATGAAATTGGTGTTGAAAAGGATGATAACAAGGCATCTGAATGGTATTTGAAATCAGCAAATGGTGATAATATGTGTGGTTGAAATGATCTTGGGTGTTGTAACAAAAAAGATAGTTGTATAGAGAAGGATGAATATGAAGTATTCATTCATTATCTAAAATATGCTAATATGAGTAATCCCAACAGAGCATTTAAAGTTCGAAGTTGTAACCATAATGGAATAGGAATTGAAAGAAATAAGCATGCAGTATCCATTAACTACTAAAGATCTGCTGAGGATGAATGTAAAGCATCTAAATGGTATTTGAAATATGTTAATGTGATGATTCAAAGAGAGATAATCACAGTATAACAATGGAGACATTGGTGAAAATAAATGAACAATCAGTAAAAGTATCAATTAGAACCAGTTTAGGTATAAACCTAATAAATATAGATTATGTAGAAAAGAAAGAACTTATCTGGAGATATTTGAACAATATATCAACCATTGGTAGTACAAGTAATGATGAGATCGTTAGATGTGTTCCTGGTGTTGAAGAAAAATTGAATCACATAACCACTTCTGAATATAGTATTAAAGTACTGTTATGAAAATGGAAATTTAAGCAGTAAAAATTACTTAAAATGAATATTTCTAAAACAAGCACTTCACTCAAGATAAGCTTAGGTATTAGCGATTTTGAGAAAATTCGTGTTAGTAGTGACATTCTAGTCGATAAAACGCTCCTTTTCGAAGAAGTTCTAAGTGCTTTAGCAGAAGTATTACTAATTACCCGACCTAGGCATTGAGAAAAAAGTCTTTGAAGTTGATATTGACGGTGTTAAAGTGGTTCAAAAGTTCTATGTGAAGCATGAATTTTGTTATGATGTTGTTCTTGGAATACCGTGAGTAGTAAAAACAAGGTGTGGTTTCGAATGGAAAGATGGAAAATATCATTGTATAATCTGATCTGGCTTAGAGAAAGCAACATTCATGATCTCTGATGAAAGCATAGATGAATATATGAATAAAGGTAGTATAATGAAGAATGATGAATGAAAAGAAACTGAATTTGTAGATGTTAGGTGTATTAAAGGCAAATTGATGAAGAATAATAGTATCGATGAAGAGAAAGAGAAATGTAGTGATGAAAAAGACAATAATATTGTAAACGTAAGGTGTGTAGTAAATGTATTGGAGGATAATAAGGCTAAGTTTGATTATAATGGGGTGAAGCTGCAGATGGTAGAGTGAATAAATCTGATAAAGGTGAACAAAAGAAGAGTATTCATTGTCAAAACATTGGTTACGAGAGTTGCAATAGTGAAGCACGTGACCTTGGATTGGATTATAAAAATAAAAGAAGCATTAGATTAAAAGATGCATTTCTGGAAAATCTAAATATGATGCAAATATTGAATAGCATATTAAAGGCTAAACATAATGTAAGAGGTTTAGTAAGGTTAAATGGGGTGAGCTGCTGAATAATGAAAACAAGTAGTAGTAAAAAGGTTATAGAAAGTGCATTGCGAAGATTGAATCAAAACTCAAAGATATTTAAAAACATTAGAAGGATAGGATTTTTCAAATAATTATATTTGGACCATATGGTCAGGAATGATGGGTTGGTTAGTGCAGTATTTGGTAGTCGTTTTGAAATGAGTAAACTTGGTGAAATGAATATGAGTTGTTGTAACTTTGGGGATGAAGTTACTGGGGTTCTAGCTCTTATCACGGTGCTGCATGATACCATATGACTAGTGATCGGGTATGTGTTGATTAAATATCAGCGATCGGGATGATGATTTAATTAAAAGTCTAAATATTAATGCATGAACAATGTAGTAATTAATGGTAATTAGTAATAATCAGTGACACAAATGTGTATTAGTAATAAATAAATAAGGTATCGATCCTAAAGGGGAGATACTAGAGATTGAACTTTGAGTTCTTTGAATTATTTTTAGTGAATAAACTGTTGTTATCTCTGTAAATATATATTGGTGGTAGTATCTGGTACGATACTCCAGTCATCATATAAATTAGCCAAGCGAGTTAAAGACCAATAGTAAAAGCCAATGAATACATGGTAGTTTGGATAACTCCGTAACAGTAGTAATTATATCAATTCTACAATATCCTGTATATAGATTTGTAAAATTACTAAATTTATTAATAATTACTAATTCTACAATTCTACTGCATAGTAGAATTGTAGATTGCTTGTAGAATCAATTCTACACATGTGAATTTAATTCTCCTGCATTCTAGTTCCAAGTATCTGATTTATTATTCTTGAAACACCTATAAAAAATTAGTTGAAAAAAATTTTTGGCTAGTAATTTTTTTAGCATAATAATAATAATAATAATAATAATAAATTTAATATAAATTGATATAACAATAATACTATAATATATACATACCTATAAAGTGCTATATACAGTATCTGCTATAATATGATTTTTTAAATAGTGAAAAATTAAAGATTATATATGTTACAAAATTTTTTACATCACATGGTATACATAAATAATATTTTAAAAAATTGATCTATATTATTTGTTATACTAGATACTGTATGCAGCACTCTACAATAATTTAAAATCAGGTGGCTAATATAAATAAAAATTCAAAAAATATGATATTTTCAAACTATATTTGCTAGCAAATTATTGAAAAAAATTTAAAAAGCTTTTCAATTTAAAAAATTGCAAAATACTTAGATATTAGCAAGTCTTCTATAAGTTAGGTTCTTATGCATTTTCAAAGATATAGTTGTATTTAAAAACTTTTATTACTTTCAGAAAAACTATGTTCTTTAAATATAAATAATATAAGTTTTAATTAAAGAAAAATCTGACTAGTAAATCCAAGATGAAACTTTGTTTGGAATATAACATTAGTCTTACAACAATTTGGAGGGCTATATATTGACTTGGATATATATACAAAAAGATAATATTTTATATATTAATATGTAATTTATTTTATAAACTTTTAGCAATTTTATAAAAGGCTCTTTCATATTAATAGCTCCTGATTCAGGCTCTTTCATATTAAAAATATCCAATTCAGAATTTTTTTACTATTAATTTCTAAATCAGTTGTATTCATTTTAGACAAGCTAAATAACTCAAAAGTATTTGTTATGTAAAATAAAAATTCTTTAATTGTTAGATCTACTGTTTTACTTTGATTGTGTTGATTATAATTTTTATCACATTTTCAACAAATATTAATTAAGTTTTGATCTTTTGAAATTTTACTTTAGTTAAATTTTTAGTTCAATCGATGAATTCTTGATCATATTTAACTTTTTTAATATTAGCACCTATTCAAGTGATATATTTACTATAAAAGCTAATTTGATATCCGGAGCCTTTTTTATATTTCTTGTCAAGTTTTATTGGTTGACAAGAACAACCTTTTCCATAAATTTTCGCACAACATAAACATACTAAACATATTGGGCAAGCGTTCAAACGAAATTTTAATAATGTTGACATTATAACGATAATAATAATATTACAGTAAATAACAATTGAACGAATTCAAAAATATATAATATATTTAATTTATGATGTAGATATTATATCAATATTACAGTAAATTAAAATTGAACGAATTCAAAAATCCATTTTTTATATACCGATCATGACGAAAAAATAACCGGCCGAAAAAAATTTTCGGCTAATTTTTTATAGGTATCCCAGGAATAATGAAAACAGCTGTAAAGAATTTTTTTTTTTTTTACTACTGTGTGAAATACAAAAAACTCGGTAAGGCCGTTCAAAGTTGATTTTTAGTTGATTAATGTCATCCCCCTCTTGGTTAACAGCTATCACTATCGGTTGGATCCTAATCTGTAATCTTGGTTACACCATCTTGAATGGGAGCTTTGGTGCAATAAATCCAAGGAACCAGAATAACCAAAAACCCGTTTGGCAAGTCCTAAGTTGGCAAGTAGCAGTAATCTTTGACAGTGCTACAGGAGGACTAAATTTGGAACTGGAGATCAAGATCAGAAAACTGATCGACCAGGTTCTTAAGTAGGGGGACATACTAGCCAAACAACCAGCCCGCCACTGGAGAAAAAGAACTTGTGCTCTAAAAGCATGTACAAAGGGGAGGGAGACCGTAAGGCACCTAGAGTCTGGCAGACTAACCCTTCCAGGTTGCTGGCTGGAAGTAAGAAAGGGACTGGTAAGGAATTCAGGAAAGAAAGCAGTTAGAATGTGGGTACTGGAACCATTATGAACCTTGCAGAAGCAGGAGTACGTAAGTGGGAACTAATTAGGAAGGTTGTGGTTTGAGATATAGATTGGGCTATAGTAGTATCTGAAAGAATAGCTTGAAATACAAACCCAGTGGTGGTAGCACAACATGTACTAATTAGAAAAAGTTACTGAACATGCAGGTAAGCACATGTGTAGGACATATACCACTCTGTTAGGTTTACCACAAGGATAAATGCCCCAATATAGTTTGGCTAAAGTCTTAGGGTCATTCACAGCAATGGCTAATTTCATATAAGTATTAGGGTAGAGCGTGTTACAAAAGTGGTAGCTAGAGAATTTAAATAGGTAACTCCCTAGTTGGGTTATAGGTATGGCAGCTAGTGTGAAACCTAGAACAGACTACTTAAATAGACAACCAAAAGTTGCATATATAGCTAGTCGTACTCTCATTAGAAATAACCAGAGAGTTTAAATAGGTAATTTTCCAGTTAGATTGCAGGTATGGTAGCTAGTATAGACCCAAGCAGACTACTTAAATTAGAACCCAAAAGGTGCATGTGTGGCTATTTGTATCTTTGTAAAATAGATATATTATTATAACTACTTGAATAAAACTCATGCCAATAGCCTAAGTGGTCACCTTAATATATATAAAAAAAAAAAGAATTCAATTAAGCAAACAAGAGAATTTGTGTACTTGAAACTAAATCAAATATAGTCAATACATTAAATAGTATTAAAAAGAGAATTTATAAAAATCTTCTATTTTGCAACATATTTAAGAATGCTTGATTTCTAAAAAAAGTTGACATTTAAAATTGGATAGCAATATTATAATATTATAAACTTATGCAATTTTTACTAAAATGCTAGGCATTAATGAAAATACTCTGTAAAATATCCTATCTTTTGATAAAGCTGAATATCAATATCTAATATCCAAATAGCCTTTAAATAATAACAATACTAAATCAAATAAAGTTGATTCTATATCAATATCTACAAATTTTTCTTATGCTAATAGTTCAAGAACAACTATATCTATAACTATATATACCAAAAAGAAATCCTTATTTAAATTAAATATTTATATTATTTAAGATATGACTTTCCAAAGTCTGCTTATATATTTCTTGTCGCGGCTGAAGTTAGAAATGGCTGATGCTGGAAATTTTAATTATTTTAATATGAAATTTTCAAAAAATTTTGGGGCCTATTGTTAGGGGTTTTTTTTTAGGGTTAGGTTAGGGTTTAGAGGTAGTTTTAATAATAAAAGAGTATAAGCAAATTTTTGTAGAGTTTATATTTTTAAATCAAGGTCACTAATTTCTAGCTTTAGCCATTCCCAGCATCAGCTATGACAATAATTATTTGTTAATTATTTGGATTTAAAAATCTGTAATCTTGGTAGCACTATACTTGTATAAAAGCTTTGGTATATAAAATACCAAGAAACTGAGATGATTAAAACCTATTTGGGAAAACTCAAATAAGAAATAATTATGATCTTTGACAATACTACAAGAAATACTTAAATTTGGATATTAAAATCAAGATTGAAAAATTAAATAGCAACAAAATTCTTTAGTAGAGGGATTTACCAACCTGATCTTAATTTAAAAAAGTTAAAAATTTGTGAGGCTGTCTGGAGTACACCAACTCTGGCCAGCCAGCATAAAAAACTAGTGGTGAGGCCCTATCTACCAAGACTAGGAGCTATAGAAGTTAAACAAGAAACTAGTAAGATGAAAAAATTCTAGATATGTTTGAAAGACTAGCCTACTGAATTGGAGAAAAAGGATATATGCTAGAAAATTATATACCAAGATGAGATGAGAGCATTAGGCACTTAAAGCCAAGCCAAAATCAAATCTTTCAGAATATAGATTAAAAGTAAGAGATAGACTAATAAGAAAATAACAGAAAAAGAAAACTCTAAATATAGATATTAAGATCAAAAAGTGAACTTTATAAGAACAAAAGTGGTTAAATAGAAAACCCAACTACAAGTAGAAGCCTTAGCAACTACACAAAACCAGGTTGGCCCAAATGGGATAGAGAAGGCTCTAATAAGTTTATCTTAAGAATAGCCATGTATTTGCTTAACAAAAAAATACAAGCCAATAAATAATTAGTGCAAATCTAGAATAAGTTATAGAAGTCTTAAAGCAGGGTGTGTAATCTAGTAAAATGGGCCAGATAGTAGTTTTTGTGTTAGTATTATATGCATAAATAGTTAAGATTAGAAGGTTTAAATAAGTAACTTCATAGTTGGGTTATAGGTATGACTTCTAGTATAGAACTTACAAGTAAACTACTTAAATAGGCACACATGTAACTAGTTGTATTTTCATTGTAACTATAATAGCAAAATGATTACTAACAAGGAGTTTTCTATAGACAAAGAGTTCACCTTAACACCAAAAAAATAAAAAATAAAAATAAAGATTTGCTATTTATTACCACTAGTAATTATCACCAATGTTGCTATATCTCAAAAACATATTAAATAAACAGAATCAGGTACTCTAAGTAAAAATATTCAGAACCCCAAAAACCTCACCAAAACTAAAATTGGAACCTTATATTAGCTCTATATTATATCATATTAAAAAAATAATTCTCTAATTTCTAACCCTAACCCTAACAAATCTTAGGACTGGTGATAATCACCACTGGTGATATATAGTAGTTTTCTTCTATATGTATCTAAGAATAATCCTAAAAAAAAGTTTAGAATATTTACTATTTCTATAGTACTAGTTATTTAAGAAACTATTGCTCAAGTAGAATCAAGTAAACTATTAACTTGTAGCATAAGACATGTAAAACAAGCTTGTTTTGTAAAAAAAATATGTATGGTAATAAAATTAAATAACTATTAGAGAAATGTATTTATTAATAAGGCCATATAAACTTAATGATTCAGTTTCATAACCCGGCCGGGTCAAACCTTACAAATTTTTTTGCAGCTATTATCATAATTTCTGGGATACCTGCTCATTACCCGAAATCTTTTTGGTCATTTGGTAAATTACCTAACTCTCTGGAAACTACATTGCTATCTTCGGACCTTCAGTCCGGATGCAGTAATATAATTTCTGGAGAGTTAGGTAATTTACCGAACGACCAAAAAGATTTCGGGTGATGAACAGGTGTCCCAGAAATTATGATAATAGCTGTAAAAAATTTTATGTATATTTACAATCCGGGTGAGTTTTTTAAAAAAATCTATAAAAAATTTTATATGATTTTTTTATATAAAATTTTTTGAAAATAAAATTTTAAAAATTTTGTTATGAAAACGAATTATTAAGTTTGTATGCCTAATTAAATTTTTTTTTTGAAATTTATAGCAGATCAATTTTGTATGACATGTCGGCTGACTGTTAAGCTTAACCAAATAAACATTTGACAATGGCTGTCAAGGTCAATATATTAAAAATTGTCATTATAAATTCAAATTTACAGTTTAAATCTGTCTTTTTGCTTAATAATTTTCATTTCGAACTCGTTTCTATTAGCCAATCAGATTTTGTAGCGTCATCAAAGATCTACAAAAATTAGCCAATAAGAATGAAAGCCCGCTATGTTAATCAACAAGATGTATAATAAATAAACTGCAGTTTATTGTAGTTTTAAAATAAACTACAGTTTATTTATATGTACTATAATTCACAGTTCGCATCTCTAGATCATAATCATTCGATTACTACATCCAATCAGAATCAAGATTTGTGGACGAACGCAAAACTCGAATCGAAACCATACACTTCGTTCCATTACGTTCCTGGTAAAAAATTTAAGGGGGGTTAGTTTTTCTCCAATCATTTTAGCGGGGAAAATTTCCGTAAAACTGGACGTTTAAGGGATAAGCATTAATTAAAACTAATATATATTAATAAAAACGTACGTACGTACAAGAACTACACTAGAACTGATGCGGTTAGCATACTCATTTCTAAATATTGCGTAGCTTATTTTGTAGTGCATGGTTTGTTGGGTGTACAATATCACAAACATAGTGCAGATCACAGATCGACAATAATTAATAAAAACATATAACTATAAAAATCATTATACGTATGACTTGCACATGTTTGTAATTAGACTGATTTTGTACACCCAAATGATTTGTTAATCTTACTTTTTAAACTATAGCAACGGCAATAATCTCTCATGTTGTGATACTGACTCCTTTAAATAATCCAAGCGTCTAAAGCTTTCATGAATTGGAAAATCTTATCGATAAAAGCTTGAGGTAAAATCATAGTAGCACAATTAAGGTTTAATTACTTGTAGATTGCTTTTATTTCAGGAATCTGACAGGATCCACACACTCGAGTTTTAGACACTAATACCATGCTACAATTAATTGCACAATTATTTATATAAGTGCTACACTTTTAACGTTATTATTATGCATATTGGCCTATTAAATTTGTAACTTTAGGAATATTTAAGTTATATATACATTGTATATAAATACTAATAGCTATTGTGCAACTACTGCGATGATAATTATTTTTCGATCAATAGTAAAGCCATATACAGTTATTTATCATAACATTAGTTGCGCAGTAGTTACTAGTGATTACAATCTGTAATTGCAAATACTATATACATATTACAAAAATTACTATACAGTCAGACCTCCCTAAATGCACACCGTCGGGACCAGCTCTAGAGCACGCATTTAAGGAGTGTTGCAATTGTGAACATCAAGATCATAATGTAAATATAGGATTCGATATCTCGTGAACTAGCGATTGAATTTCAATAATTTTACCATTCGAATCTTTTTGATGAGACGATTCGAATAATACCAAAATCGTCGAAATACAATTACTAGATCACAATATCAAAATAAATTTATTTAAACGGTATGAATTTGATTGAGATTTATACGTACGTACGGATTTGGTCGACAAATTCTGTATTATCACGTGACTAACATGGCTTTAGTAGCCTAGAGATGATAAATTTGATTGGCTAGTAATCACGTAAGGCATTTATGGAGGTAGTTTTTATAAATGGACCAAACAATTAGCATGCAAGTTCCATGTGGGGCTAGCCATCAATTGTGCATTTAGAGAGGTATTACATTTAGGGGTCTGGCCGTAGTTACAAATCGAATACGGGAATAGGCATGAATGAAGATACATTTTGCAATATACCTTTTCAATAAAGAGTCAAATTTAACCATTAGTCATAGGTGAAAATAAATAAAATTTGTATATAAAGCGATAATTCGAAAGTTTAACACTTTTCGTTCTTTCCCAGTCTTATTTATGAATTAAACAAAATGAAAATTGAAATAATATTCACATTTTTCATATTATTCAACACATGCAACTCAGCTTTGCTGAGCCCAAGTACAAACGAATGTACTTACGTTTCTTCTAATATGTTTCAAACTCTTAAGCCTTTACCACGAACCAAAATGCAAGTGACTCGGTGCTATAATATGGAATTAATAGTAAAACAATTGACTCCTGATGGATATACGCGACCAGTGTATGATATCTATCGAATTTTTTTTTTTTTTAGTGTTTATAGTACTACATATGAGTGTTGTCAATTGTCATCGGACTTTCAATTATATTTTTTGTACAGTTAACCGTCTATGGAAAATCTATCATGATGATAGATTTTCCATAGCTGTACACAAAATATAATTTCCTTTACGTCACTAAATTATATCCCATTTTTTCACCGATTTGAGAGAAGTAATGATTAAATTCCAAAATAGCTAAATCTGGATTTATGTATCATAATAATCACCTGTTTTTAATTATGCAACAAAAACCTTTTCCATCCTTATCCCATTGTAAAGGCTTGTCGACACGTCTTTACAATGATATATAACCCAGTGACATAATTGTTTCTGCTCCTATAGTTTACATAATACTGTAAAAGTTAATTTCACGTTTCTTATTGATTTAATTCTCATGAAATTTAGATGGACCGTTAATGGTCAATATCCAGCTCCGATAATTCAAGCAAACTATGGAGATAGGCTTCTCATCAACGTCACCAATAAATTTGGAGACCCGGCCACTGGTAAATTAAATAAATCTAATTGTTTATCTGAATGATATTTTTATTTCTAACATTTTGTTTTCTTTTTAAGTTCATTGGCACGGTATATTTCAGAAGGACACAAATTTTTACGATGGACCTGTGGGCATAACACAATGTCCGATCCCTAATGGAGTTTCATTTCTTTACAATTTCACTCTTAATCAATACGGTAAATTTTCTTTATGCAATTTTTATTTACTGTAGTTGCAAATTGAATATTTACACTTATTAATTATATGTACACATTATCAAGGCACATATTGGTATCATTCCCACATTACTGGTCAAATTATTGACGGTCTTAAAGGCCCTTTAATAGTTCATTTTCTGATGACCCCTACCTCAAAGAGTATGATTTCGAATATGTAATGACATTGTCAGATTGGTACCACGCTCCATCTGGTATTATCCTTCCATTATTTCGTACACCTGGCTATAAAGGATTTGAACCAGTTCCTGATTCTGGTGAAATTAGTGGCTTAGGACAATATGATTGTAATGCTGCTCCAAAAAATTCTAAATGTAATCCGAATAACAAAGTCGCCACATATGTTGTTCAAAAGGGTAAAAAATATAGATTTAGAATTATAAACATGAGCACATTATCTCACTTCATTCTTTCGATTGATGAACATCCTGTCACGGTTATTGCAGCTGATGGTGATTTAATAAAACCTGTTACTCTAAACACCTTACCAATTCATATTGCACAACGATATGATGTAATACTTAATGCTAATAAACCAATAGATAATTATCAGATACGTGTAAAACTATCGACTTGCTCAAGGATAGATAATAATACTATAAATTATAACAATTCATTAAATTATAATATTGTGGGAATTTTAAAATACGAAGGCGCCAAAGATAACCTTCCAACTTCGAAAGCTTATCCATTGAACAAAACAGAAGAATGTAGAGATATTAATGCAAACTTATTAAAACCATATTACGAGAAAAAAGTACCTCGAAATATTATTTCTAAGTTTAATTTATTTGTTTCTTTCTCTCTTATATCATCATCAAATTTAGTTTTTGTTCCAATAAATAATTAGTGCAAATCTAGAATAAGTTATAGAAGTCTTAAAGCAGGGTGTGTAATCTAGTAAAATGGGCC